AATATTTGTTTTTTGTGAACCAAAAAGGGATATCTCAAAAAATTGCTAAAATGTGCAAAATATTAACATTTTTTCATAAGTTCTCCACAGTCATTTGTCACATTGAATGTATATTAATTAAATATTTTTAAATAAAATATTTCAAAATTAATGTAATACAATCCCCAAATCAAAATTTTGGCGGACAAAATTTAAAAATCGGTATCTTCTGAATTTGGATAAATAAAGTAAAATAACAAAATGCTCTTTTCCAATATAAAAGTGATTTTCAAATCGACGTTTCATTTTCATGAGATTAGCGCGAGAAATTCAACAAATATTGGATAATATTTTCGATTAAAATTTTTTAATATATTAATGCTTAACAAAATAAAATATGCACTGCGAATCACTTAATCAAGGAATTACATTTTATAAACTTTGAACGAAAATATCTTGTAAACTAGATAATAAGGGATTAAAAAATTTTGGACTTTTAAAGGTCCTATTCCTACTTTTAATTACGTGAAAAATGTGAAAAGAGTTTTTTTGTTTCTTCTAAAGAAGTTTAGTTTTTTTCTTTACCCATAATAAAATAAGTATTTTTTGCATCACTTGAATAAGGAATTTTTATATTTTAAAGAAACTAGGTGTAATCTTGTCACTTAAATCGATGAATATAATCTTCTTCTAATTAATGTGTATTTGTTTCTATGTATCTATATACAGTGTGTGTTCCTGTGTGTCAGGAAGGAAATATAGGCTACTTTTTATTTTTAAATTCCAAGTGGGCGAGGTACCATCCCCACAAATAACTTTAAAAGTAGTATATCTCGGAAAGTGGTACGACAAGAGTTCTCAAATTTTGTACGAACAACTTGGACACATACTGAACTCTGGGGAAAAAATAGGCGAACTAGCAATAGTGGGTGTGTCACATTTTGTGCAATATGAAGTTAGTACCATATAAAGTTAGTAGAAAAAGTAAGCGAGGTACTTCCCATATGAATTAAATAAAAAATCGTATATCGGGGAAACTATTGGAGCTAGAATGCTAAAATTTTGCACGAACAATTGGCGGATTATAATTCATATGGTCCCGGATTATAATTCATATACATTATAATTCGTATATCAGGAAGACCATTAGAGCTAGAATTCTAAAATTTTTTGAAAAATATTAAATCGGTTAAGAAAACTTTTAGATACCATTTTTTTGGTCTGTCTAGTCAACAAAAAGCGTTTTTTTCTAATATCAGCCGATTTTTAGGGTATATTGAAGATTCTAAAAATGGTAAAATTATCTACTCATCTAGGTCTATAAAAAGCATTATATCGCGTAATGAGTGTTTTTGAGTGTCACACAGTGATATTTTTTGCTGCATTGGCTAAAGAACTGCACTATACTACATCTGACAAAAATAACATTTTCTATTTCATATTGCAATATGAATGCACTTAGTAGGTGTTTACTTTCCGATAAGCATTTTGTGAAAAGAAAAACAAATTAATTCAAAGTACCTACTCAGAATAAAAATCTTTCCATCCCAGGTACTGAATAGTAGAATAAAAACTTATTTCTGAGAAAAAGCTTCTTATATCTTATAAATATAAAATAATACCCATGATTTCCAAATTTACAATTTGATTAAACATAATATTTAAATAGTATGTGTAATGGGGATCCATACGAGGCTACATAGAGCACCTGTACTGCACCTATATCTCCTCCACCTTATATCCCGTGTTCACTAACCCAAATAAGGGAATTAATTATCTTCTCGCCATCTTATTGACAGTTTGACTTCCATTATAGATTATAATACACCCATTAGATATCCGATAGTATCAATGCCTATTTATTGCCCTTTTTATACCCTTAGTGGGGATGGTACATTGGGTTTCTCCGGAGTAGTGCTTTTGTTTTATACTGTCCTTAAATAATGAAATTTGAAATGATCGGGCTTTTGATCCGAGCCGCCATAAAAAGCATAGCTTTAAAAAAGAATTTAGTGTCCACAACTCGCTTAAAAAGAGAAGTGCTGCAATGAAATTCAGCATAAATACATTTTATGTAACCGTAAATTCGTCCTCCAAATTTTATGAGGATCGACTCATATGAAGGCTTCCCCCAAGCCTTTTTCAGAAAAATAGTTTTTTAACAATAAACTGCTAAAATATATCGGAGGCGAGGTATAAATTTATTATGAAAACTAAATTACATTTTACTCTCATAACTGGTGTATGGGGTTATATGGTCGGCATCGCCCGCCTATAATTTCGTACTTGTTATTTTTATATATCCGATAGTATCTATGCCTATTTAGTATAGCAATGAAATTTGATATAAGTAAATCCCTGACGAGCCAAAACCTCTCTACCAAATTTTATGTAGATCGGGTTCAAAAAATGACTTTAACGCTCATTACTGGCTTAAAATACGAGTATAGCGATGAAATTTAACATAAGTAAGTCCCTGACTAGCCGAAACCTCTCTACCAAATTTTATGTGGATCGGTCCATAATTGACCCTACCCCTCATATAAGGTCCCCTTCAAAAAATTACTTTAATACTCATAGCGATGAAATTCGACACACATATGTTTCATGCGAGTCAAAATCTCTCTACCAAGTTTTATATGGATCAGTCCATAATTGACCCCCCACATAAGGTCCCCTTCGGGAATCGGGAATTCCCGTTTGGCATCCCTAATTTGAAGCAAGCAAATATTATTTCATACCCACCTTCAAAAAAGATGGGGGCTATATCGATTTTATCATTCCGTTTGTAGCAAATAGAATCGAAATCGTAGATAGATATAGATATATACCCAGTGTGCTTTGCTACCCTAAAAGCAATATGTATAAATAAAAAACTCACTTAACGATTTTGAAGGTTCTAACAACAACAGTTTTCCAGATTTACAATGTGTTACATATGAGAGATGTCAAGCAAATTATTGCAAGTTCGCCTGTTTCTATTTATCGCCAATTTCTATCTATCTATGAAAAATTTGAATAATAGAAGAATTTCCAAGATGCACGAAATTTTGTATTTAATTTATATATGTTGTGTCAAGCCACCCATTGAAAGTCCGCCCGTTATTCTCTAAATGTTCCTATGAATGTCAAAGTTCTTTATGTAAAATTTGAAGATTCTAGCTCTAATAGTTTCTCAGTGGGGGCTTCAAGCTTCCCAGATGAAAGCCCGCACTTTTTCCCTAAAATGTTCAGATGAATATTAAAATTATTTGTACAAAGGAAAGGAATGCTGTCCATTTTGACAACTTTCAACTAGATCTTATCATAGATGCAATAAAAACCTACATATGGATATCAAAAATTAACCACATTCTTTCAATGACACGCTCATACATATTTCACTGGTTTTACATCTAAATTTTAAGTACTTCGCATATGTTATTTGTAGTGACTTTTCTACATCATTTTCCTCACTTTTGACAAGGTTTTTATTTGTGAGAGAATTTTTGGTAAATCAAAAAATATGTATGACTTCCATTATTTTTTTGCTGGGATACTTTGCATACGACATCTTAATCACATCTAAAAATGCGAATTAAAAGCCAGTTAAAAAAGAGAAAATTATGAAAATAATACTCTAATGAAAAAACAATGATACTTAAATAAGCGTGTTATAGGAGAAATGTGACTTATTTTTGGCATCCAAATATCGGATTTTTACTGCATTTTTTGCTGGATTGTCATTGGAGGGATGTTGTTCATTTTTGACAACTTTGAACTACTTTATAGAAGCAGTATAAATCCGATATTTTGATGTCAAAAATAAACCACTTTCAATGATACTCTTATGTATTCATCGGTTTTTCAACAAAATTGGAAGTACTTTAAATATACATACATTTGCAGTGACTTTTCTACATCTTTTTCCGCACTTTTAACTGGGTTTTAATTTGTTAGGAAATATGTCATTGCTTTTTTAGATGTGATTAAGAAGTCGTTTGTAAAGTATGACTTCCATTATTTTTTGCTAGATTATTTTAAAAAAGAACTGAATTTTTAACGCGTTTATTGCTATTGAAAAAAGTCCACATAGGACTTTAAGACGTTAAAATAAGAACTGGAATAGGGCATCATCTAGTTAATCTAAATGAAGAAATAAAAGACTTAATGAGATAGTGGAAGTCAAAGGTCATAAGTATCAAATCTTTTCATATATTGCACACTCAGTACAAAAATTACACAACTCAAAAGAAAAGAGAACAAATATTTTACAAATTCTGAAACATAAAGAAAGACATAACGTTTAAAAATACACTAATATTTTTTTAGAAATAAACAAGTATCTTGTGCTTAAACTTAAGGCTTAAATAATATAAAAACGCAAAAATAAAATTTTGAGTTGAGTCACTTTAGTGCTGGGTGTGAGATACATATGTATCTAGGTTATTGTTCGTCGTACGACTTTAGATGTTATTACAACTTCTGTAGAGAATGCAATTTACAATATTTCGGTAAAGATTATTTTCGCAGATCAATAGTTAGCTTCCAATTATTTTGTTCTTATTTTCCGTAGCAGTGTTACTTAAAAATATCAATTAGATTAATACTAACAATGATATTATGATTACTATTATTTGCAAAATTAGCAGAATATACGTATTTAACTCTCATTACACATTTATCTTAGAATTTCGATATTAATTAAGTGGACTTAATCTACTAAGTACGTTTACTACTCCCACCAAATTTCATAAAAATCGGAATGCGAATTGCAGCCAACTTCATTTTTCATATAAGTTGCCAAACGGAAATATTTGCGATTAGAATTTTTATTTTAAAATAAAATTACACTCAATGTAGATTTAAAGTAGTCACTACTTTGAAATTCTTCCATTTATTAAGGATTTTTTGAAGGTATTTTAAGCTAATATATGAGTGTCTGTTTATGAATACGAATTTAGTGAATTTAGCTCTTGTTCAATAATACTCATTTTATTTTCTTTTTTCTTACTTATTCTTTTACTTTGTCGCTGCCATAGATAAGTGAACGTGTGAATATAAAAGATCCGTTAGTTATGTGGGTTTATCTCAATCGTCGAGCACGTGTACTGGATACCACCAATTCTGAAGCCGGTTATAAACACATCAATTCGGAACGTGAATATACTCCATTAACCTTTGATTTACGTAGTTTTGACGATATACATAACTATTGGACGACACTGCAACGAATTTGTGTTTATACAAAACTTGGTTTTCGAAGCAGAAGTCATGGAAGAACTGAAAGAATAAAAGAACTAAACTTTCTTAATTCAGTCGATTTCGACGAAGCACCTTTACATGATACCGGCTATCAACCTGGAGATGGTTTGGGTGCTGCAGGCCTTTCAACAAATTTATTTGCTCACACGTTCCGCAATTGGTCTTGGTATGTGCACAGCAGTAATAAAGTTACAGTGAAAAATGTTAGAACGGGTCGTCCAGTCAGTTCAGGACTTCGAGGTACTAGTAAAGTAGTCCGAGTTATATCACGTAAATCGCGACAACCTCAAGCATTAGCAACAATTAAACGTATGGGCTCACAATTTTTGACTTCCAATAGTAAACGCCTAAAAAAGACTGCTCCCAGAGATGCAGTTGATCGTGATGCCTTGAAAAATATGAGAACGTTGCGAGTATCCTGGAGTAAGGCTGAAGATGAAATGCTCATGATTGGTAAGGCTGCATCGGTATATGTTGCGGCACCTGTACCAGCCCTGGGTCTCTTAACTATTGGTAAATCATGCCGCGATGCAATACGGCATAGCTTAGGTATTTTTAATAAAACAACTCAGGCATGTTGTAGAAGATTACAATTTATGGTACGCCAAAAGAGACACATACCACAGGTGCCAACCTGGCTACATATGTTGCAAACTGACGAGTATTTGCAGAAAAAATATGGCGATAACTTTTTGCAAAGATTGAAAAAGACATATACAACTCGCGCAGAATTTTGTGACGCATTAGCAGTGCATTATACCCTTATTATGTGTTATTTGTTTAAACTCGTGCATAATGCGTACGATACTAAAACGAAGTCTCGATTCATTTTACCAGACTCTATTCAAGAGTTTCACAAACGTTTCCTCGAACGTATGCCAGTGCCAACCGATGAAGATTGCATACTTTATAAAAACCCCGATACAGATTTTGATCTTCAAACAATTGTAGTTGAAAGCGTTCTGCACAGTAGTTTGTGTGCTATGCGTGACAAGACATTGTACAATTTACAAGCATTCGAAATATATAAAAACTATTCGGAGGAAGTCTTAGAAGCTGCTTTCTCTAAAGCTCGCGCAGATGGCTTAGCAGTTGCCATAAAACGAAAAAATATGAGTCTTCTGCCTAATCATTTATCTGGTCCAGCGTATGTGCTCTCATCAAAGTATAAACTTAAATTACTATTTTTGCGAATTCCATATGGAATATTTGACGCATTTTATAATTATTTCGAGGCGGGTATAAAAGTTTTCTTTCAAACAGACAAAAGTACGGGGGAAGCAAGTGGTTTTGTAGGTCAAATGGAATTAAAATCACCAACTCCAGGTCAAATGTTTGTTATTGGCGAAGGTTTGTCGCGTAACATATGGACTGTCAACGTGAAATTACCTATAAATATTTTGACTGTCGATGCAGAACAAAATCAAACAAATGTGTCATCTATGGATCGCATATTAGATCATTACCAGAGCATTTTTGATAATGCGCCCCAACAAGAATATACAAAAACTATAGAAAGCGTCCAGAATGAAAAACAGGTGAGTAATTTCTGATTTTTATATCAAATTGTGAGAAAACTTCAAGACGCAAACATTTTTATGTGAAACTTCGAGCAACCATGGTAGCCAACGGTATTCCTTTTGACATTGTTGACTGGGTTGTTAATTTCTTATCGTATAGAAATCTTTGTTTGGGCAAGAGTTCTATTAGAGCATTTAATGGCTTCCACAGGATAGTTGTCTGTCTCCTATTGTATTTAATCTTTATACGGCTTCACTTTTAAATTTGCATGCATACATACAAACATACATACATACATACATACATACATACATACATACATACATACATACATACATACATACATACATACATACATACATACATACATACATACATACATACATACATACATACATACATACATACATACATACATACATACATACATACATACATACATACGAATAATGGTGAGAAAGCAAAAGAATTCAACGATCGGATTGGAAAAACTCTGGAGGGTAGAGCCGAAATACGAACTAGATAAGTGAGACGATGATAGAGTGTAAAGACCTTGACGAGGTGACGACAAAAGCAGATATTTGTGCTGCAATGGAAGAACAACTCAACACACCTGAGATAAAAGAGAGCGCCGTTAAGCATATTCGCAAAGCATACGTAGGAACGCAAATAGCAATAATTGTCTTACCAGATGCTATTGCACAACAAGCGTTAAAAATGGGTAAAATCAGAATAGGGTGGTCCATTTGCCGAGTACGTGAACCCCTTACACTAAAACGATGCTTTATATGTCTTGAGTTTGGCCATATCGCAAGAGTCTGTAAAAACAGCTTTGACAGATCCAAACTGTGCCGTAAATGTGGGGAGCCAAACCATATTGCAAAGGACTGTACATCAGAACCGAAATGCATGTCCTGAATAGCTAACAAGGACCCAGAAATTGGACACATCGCGGGCAGCAGCAAAAGCCCTGTATTCAAGAAGGCAATCAACAAATCTAAAAAATGAAGATTATACAACTGAATCTTAATCATTGTGCAGTGGCCGAAGACCTCCTTGGACAAACAATTCGAGAAATGGACGTGGACGTAGCTATTATATGTGAGCAATACAAAAACTTATCTAGTGCTATATGGGAGAAAGATAAATCAGGCAAAGCTGCAATTTGGTCTTGCGGTAAACATGCTTTCCAGGATACAATGAGAAGCCCTGTCGACGGATTCGCCAGAGTCAAGATTGGTGGGATTTATTTTTATAGCTGCTAAATCTCACCAAACGTTCCAATAAATGAATTTGAAACATTTATAGACAACCTTGTTTCCGATGCTGCGATACATAGCCCAAAGATTATAGGAGGAGATTTCAATTCTTGGGCAGTTAACTGGGGATGTCAGTCAACTACTGCAAGAGGCCGTATCCTCCTTGAAGCATTTGCACAGCTAGACCTTGTACTTTGCAATGCTGGGAACACTCAAACATTTAGAAGAGGTTCAACAGGATCAGTAGTAGACTTAATGTTCATTAGCCCAACTCTTGCTAGGGATTTCGAATGGAAAGTCAGTGAACACTACACGCATAGCGACCACCACCGCCATATACCGCCAAAATCAAAGAGAATCCCTCGAACGACAGGATGGGCACAAAATAAGCTTCAACAAGAAATATTTCGGTATGAATTGGAGGAATCCTGAAATAGCAGCTCTCCGAAAGGAATGTCTTAAAACACGACGACTATACTAAAGGAGAAGAATGAGACCAAATTCCGAAGTAAGACACCAAGCCTACCTGCAAGCTAGACGAAAACTACAACTTGCCATTAAGAAAAGCAAACGAGATTGTTTCAAACAACTGTGTAAGGAAGTTGACTCGAATCCATGGGGAAATGCGTACAGAATCGTATTATCACGACTGAAAGGTCAACGAACACCTCAGGTTACATGCCCACAAATGCTCCAAAGAATCATAGAAGTGTTGTTCCCAAGAGGACCATTTTTCCAGGAAGTGACTCCATCCATTAATATGGATATTGATGAAGTAACAGTGGAAGAAATTTTGCAAATATGCTCAGTGATCGGAGACAACAAAGCACCAGGACTGGACGGAATCCCGAACAAAGCTTTGAATCTGGCCCTAAAGGACAAACATCAAGTATTTGCAATGGTGATGAACAATTGCCTTCGGAATGGAAAATTTCCTGAGCCATGGAAAAAACAAAGGCTGGTCTTAATACCAAAACCTAACAAAAGAATCGGAGACCCATCCTCACACAGGCCGATATGTTTGCTGGATACGATAGGAAAAGTATTAGAACGAATTATCTATAATAGATTACTACCTGCGGTGGAAAGTGTTAACGGCCTCTCGGACAGACAATATGGATTCCGAAAAGCAAGATCCACAATAGATGCCATTAATCAAGTTAAACACCTGGCGGAGACAGCTATCGAAGTAAAAGGGGCCAGCAAAATATATTGCGCAGTCATCACACTGGACATAAAAAACGCATTTAATAGCGCTGGATGGCAACACATCATGTCTTCACTACATAGACTAGACGTCCCAAACTACTTAGTAAGGATACTTATGGACTATTTCAGAAATAGGACCCTCTGGTATGATACTGACATAGGAATGCACAAATATAAAACATCGGCCGGAGTTCCCCAGGGTTCAGTGTTGGGCACACTTCTCTGAGATACAATGTATAATCAAGTCCTGGAGCTAACTATACCCAACGAGGCAAATATTATTAGTTTCGCTGACGATATTGCTGTAGTGGTCCAAGCACGCTTCCTTGACGAGGTAGAAATGTACGCTAATGATACTATACGGATTACTAAAACCTGGCTTGCGAAAGTTGGGTTAGAACTTGCAGATCATAAAACGGAAGCTGTCCTAATAGTAGTCGAAGAAAGAAGGAATCTATAAACATCGAAGTAGGAAGGTCAAATATCAAATCGTCTCCATCAATCAAATATCTAGGAGTGTTAATCGATGATAGACTTAATTTCAAACCCCACTTGGAATATGCATGCAAGAAAGCAGCCGCTGTTAACAATGCCCTAAGCAGAATCATGCCAAATGTTGGAGGTCCAAGGCAATCACGTAGACTCCTATCCTCCAGAGTAACAACGTCAATATTACTATATGGAGCATCCATCTGGACACGGACTATTAGTAGTATTTCCCGGAAAAATATACTCTCATTATTCAGACAGTGCTGCCTTAGAATTTCCAGTGGCTACAGAACCATATCCCTGAAGCCATATGTGTAGATTGTTGTAGATTGTACACAGCGAAAGAACTAAACGCAGAGGAAAGTAATCGCGACAGAAAAAAAGTCGAGCGAAGAAAAACTATGTCATATTGGCAAAAAATATGGGAAAATGCAGATAAGGGTCGGTGGACATTTAGAATTATCCAAGCATTAGCAAATGCTTAGATCGAAAGCATGGCGAAGTCAATTATCACCTTAATCAGTTCCTTACAGGTCACGGATGATATCGAAGTTATCTCTATAAATTCAAACACGATCACTCGCCAAACTGTCCTACATGTTCAGTAGTAAAGGATGTGGAGCATGTTGTCTTTAAATGTCCTAGATTCGAGGACATTAGACACGACGTAGAGTTAAACGTGGGACTTACAATTACCCCCGATAACATAATAGACGTAATGCTAACGTCAACAGAGCATTGTGATTTAATTTCAAATTTTATAAGAGTAGTGAATCTTCGCCTGCGACAAGTAATGTTATATGCAGAAGTAGCGTAAATGCTAACCAGCCCTGCGAAGTAATACTTAAGAGCAGTTCCGTAGGGTTTTGCGGTTGACGATGGGAAGGTGGTTTAGTGAGTAGGTGACGCACAACGTAGTTGAATCTCACATCATGAATCATGATAAATGATTCATATCTATGAAGATTCCGCACCCCATATAAAAAAAACATACATACATACATACATGCATACATACATACATACATACATACATACATACATACATACATACATACATACATACATACATACATACATACATACATACATACATACATACATACATACATACATACATACATACATACATACATACATACATACATACATACATACATACATACATACATACATACATACATACATACATACATACATAACATACATACATACATACATACATACATACATACATACATACATACATACATACATACATACATACATACATACATACATACATACATACATACATACATACATACATACATACATACATACATACATACATACATACATACATACATACATACATACAATACATCATACATACATACATACATACATACATACATACATACATACATACATACATACATACATACATACATACATACATACATACATACATACATACATCATACATACATACATACATACATACATACATACATACATACATACTAAAACGGTTATTTCCCTAGAAACAATTTGTTATCAAAAATAGACAGCTAAAACAATAACGGAAAATTTTCAACATTCTAGAATAACACATACAATATAACATACCAAAGAGAAGCGTGAAAACATTGGTTTAATTTCTGGTTATTATAAAAACAAACAAAGTGAAAAAGCACAGCAAATCACAAAGGAAACCTGAAACATCCCAGCAAAAAATAATTGGTGTCATCCTTTACAAACGACATCTTAATCACATCCAAAAATGCGATTACATATTTTTCGCTTTTATAAACCAAATATTTCCTTACAAATGAAACCCCAGTTAAAAGTGAGGAAAGAGATATAAAAAAGTCACTACAAATAACATATTCGAAGTACATCACACTTTGGTGAATAACCAGTGAAATTTACATAAGCATGCCATTGAAAGAATGTGGTTTATTTTTGACATTCAAATATCGAAGTTTTACTGCTTCTAAAAATAAGATTAGATGTAGTTCAAAGTTGTTAAAATTGAACAACATCCTTCCATTGACAAGCTAATGTAAAATTCATAG